CCCCCAATCTCATCGCTACCCCACTCTCCTTCCCCCCCCCATCTCATTGCTACCCCACTCTCATTGCAACCCCCACTCTCATTGCTACCCCCAATCTCATTGCTATCCCCAATCTCATTGCTACCCCAAATCTCATTGCTACCCCCAATCTCATTGCTACCCCCAATCTCATTGCTACCCCCAATCTCATTGCTACCCCCAATCTCTGTCATGTGTTATATCTTAATTTGAGTGCAGCCCTACACACCGAAATGTTAGAGCCAATTTCGAGTACAGTGCGTTTAACTCTAGTTTTATTAGTTTAACTCTGAATAACTATTTGTCCTGCAATGATCAAGTGGTGGTCATGCTGTAATGATAACTTGTAGTTTCAACGATGAAAAGAAGTCATCCATGGGCATGTCATTATGTGTCAACACATTGAATTGATACCTTTACTTGGCCCGGCCAACATCCATACTTCTCACTTGTCACCAATGTCGTTATGTGTCAACACATTGAATTGATACCTTTACCTTGCCCGGCCAGCATTCATACTTTTTTCTCATGTCACCAATCCCGTTATGTTCCAACACAATGAATCGATACTTTAACTTGGTCCGGCCAACACTCATACTTCTCACCTGTCATCATTGCTTCTTGCCGTCGGGTCCACGAAAAAAATTTAAGAGCGTCTGGTATTGAAAAACTAGTATTTGAAACTAAGACTTAGGCGCGTACCGCGGTATGGGGGCTGGGGAAGCCACAACGACAAGATGGCTATAAAAAGTATATCTCAGAATCACTGACAAAGAATGGCAATCAACGATGCACTTTTGTGTCTGGCAAAATAAATCTTCTTTCCCATTACACAATTTGGCTTCCTTCTGAGCCAGGGAACTGTCTATGGAACAGTTGGAGATACTTTGTCAATGCTATAAGTGGTCGGACATTAGATCCAGGTTTATTAACAACGTAGCGGCAAGCACTCATCATCGAAAGAAACAATTTGCACGGGTATCAAAAAAAAAAGTTGGCTACGTGGGAAAAGATCATTTGGGCTACATCTGGTGGGGGAGTTTTCGGTTATCTGGGGAATAGTTGTTTGACATTGTTGGGTAGACGGGTGAATATCAGTTTCAACATCTTCTCCTCTGATATCATCATTTAAAATGTACTTTTCCTAAGTCCTCACTTTCGTCTTTTCTGTATATATCGTTTTCTCTAACTTTTCTCATCGTCTTGGATCTCAAAGTAACTTTGAATTAAACTCGAGGCTTTGGGCTGGCAGACACTGTAACTGATATAGACAACCTAGTTTCACGTCTTCTTTTCTCATTTCACAAATCCATTGAAACACTTGTAAACAGACTGATACTCTTTCCTTGCGTAATGCATTTAAAAAAAATATATATTTTCTACTTCTTAGTGTGTTAAAACTCATCTTTGTTAGAAAGTTTTTTTAAAAAATTATTCTTTTTAAAAAAAAGTTTTATTTTATTTAAAATCTTATTGCTGTGGCCGGGCCCCATACTCTGATAACACAAGGTAAGATAACAAAGATATCAAGGCAACAAGAGTTTATTTTTTTTTTTGGGAGGTGGGTTCATTTAACACTTGATCTCGAAGATAAGTTCACAGGATTGCCTTAATAATCTCAAAAGACTGTCAAACTTTATCAACACACCAGCTGATGCCTCTATCAAGTGGTTTCTTTTAACACAGGGGCTCTCAACCTTCCTAATGCCGCGACCCTTTAATACAGTTCCTCCTGTTGTGACGACCTCCAACCATACCATTATTCCCGTTGCTGCACACCATAAATTTGTTCTCCGATGGTCTGAAGGCGACCCCTGTGAAAGAGTCGTTAGACCACCAAAAGGGTCGTGACCCACAAGTTTAGAACCGCCGTACTAGCCTGACGTCATGAAACTATGTCTCTCACCCCCCCCCCCCTCCTTTATTATTCTCGCCCTCCATTCATTTTTGTTACCTCACATAAATGGTTAACCTCACATAAATGGTTAACCTCACATAAATGGTTAACCTCACATAAATGGTTAACCTCACATAAATGGTTAACCTCACATAAATGGTTAACCTCACATAAATGGTTAAACTCACATAAATGGTTAACCTCACATAAATGGTTAACCTGACATAAATGGTTAACCTCACATAAATGGTTAACCTCACATAAATGGTTAACCTCACATAAATGGTTAA